AAAAATGCTCGTCTTACTGAAAATATCTGAATCGCTCTTAAATCAAGGTACATTTCCTTATAAGAAAAATGACAGTGTAGTCTTGTTTCCTAAGGAAAAAAATTAGCTGCATTTTGCCTAAAACAAGTAAAAGCATTTTTGCAGTGCAGGTACATTCATTCACTGCACATATTTTCATCAAGCAGACACCGTCAAAGTGACAAAAATGGCGTGTCCTTTTATACAGGATCCTGTAGATGAGGAGGCTGCATTAATTCTGGAAGTAACGTAATAATTACAATTTCCTCAAGGATTTCCTGATGTGGTTGGATGCATTGACACGCATGTTCCATATATCTATATCATCGTACCTTCTGAAAATGAAGCTGATTACTGTATGTCAGTAGCAGTTCATGTATTCATCTCTATATTCATCAGTCAGTGGTGCTGGTGCAGGTTTTCCCCTCATTTTACGAGCCGCTGCCTTCTTGCTGTTGGCTGAGTAGAAGTCATAGAATGTTAATTTTCATTACTCTAATTAAGAAATATAACGGGTTGGATTAGAAAATGTTTAATTATGTGAAAAGAGCATTATAGACTATTTGGAAAAATCTGCTGCACCTTGAAATAGATATTGAATGATATTTATTTAATATGTCAAATGTTTGTAAAGTCATAGCCTACACCCATGAATCTTTTATGCATGAAGCTTTACCTGATTGAATTGTTTTTATACTGTATTTTTAGCTGCTGCCACTTTTTTTTTTTTTTTTTTTTTTTTTTTTTTTTTTTTTTTTTTTTTTTTTTTTTTTTTTTTTTTTTTTTTTTTTTTTTTTTTTTTTTTTTTTTTTTTTTTTTTTTTTTTTTTTTTTTTTTTTTTTTTTTTTTTTTTTTTTTTTTTTTTTTTTTTTTTTTTTTTTTTTTTTTTTTTTTGCGTGTGGAAAAAAAAAAAATAGAATATTATTAATTCTGACTTTGCTATGACAATCTGGCGCTTCTGAATCAGCTATGGTTTTGTTATTAGTTTAAGTATTTGCTATTGACTGTTCAAATGCGGAGTTTTGCGCATCGTGTGTGTGTGTGTAACATGTTTGGACCGGTCACCCTCATACACATAAAGACCACACGGCCACTCGTTGATGAGATTCAGCACTTTCTTTTACTCAATCTGTAACAAGGAGAAATAATCAGTGGATCAACAGGCGACAGCTTCTCCCTCTCTGGCACACAGAGTCATTCACGGGGAGAACAGAGTAGTACATGTGCTCATTAGCCTCGCACACAGGTAGACTGA